CCGTCCCGGTGCCACACGAACACCGTGGGACCGTCCTCGCTTGGAGCTGCTGCGCTCCGGTGCTCTGGGTGAAGTCTCCGGCGTCTCGGGGAAGTCGCTGCAGTTGGAGCGGAAGGAGCCAGCGGAAGTGAGCTCCTCCTCCGGCTTAGATCCTGTGCACTGTTGCGAGAGTGTGAAGAATGAGGTTTGGAGGTTTGGCTTAGGGTGGTAAAATGGTGGAAGGGGGCAAGGTTTGGCCTGATCATGGGGAAGTTTGTGGTCGACGGGAGGATGAGGAGTGGAGGATAAGGAATATAATGGTGAGACGGCCAAAGATGCGCGTACATAGGGGGACCGGTTTTCTCATCTTCCTGCCTCATGAAGGAATGTCAGTTCGTGGTGTAAGAAAACGGAAGAGGTTCCCTGGCCTTCTGAGCTGACCCGTACGCTGGGTCCAGAAGCCTGGTTAAGGTTGCTTTTGGAGCAAGTGCTGAGAAGAATCCAAAAACAAGTTACCACTGCTGAGAAGTGGTGGACAACCACAACAAGTACTTATCAACGAGAGCTGTTCACTTGCGATGGTGACCCTCCTTACCTTCCCCACTCGCCTTTCGGAGTTAACAGTGCGCCACGTGGAGTGCTGCTCCTTGATGACCTGAGAGCAGAAAGGAACACAGCGAAACTGCAGAAATGCATGTGGAGAGTTTTTGCAAGGGCGCGACTGAGTCTTCTTTTCCAGTTCAGAGCAAACCCACCCGATACTTGATGGCCATTCCGCAACTTGCGGGATAAAGAAAGCAACTACAAACAGATTGCAGACAAAGAAAGAAGAACTGGCGTACAATCATAAAGCTAAGTTCACAAAATCCTCACCCAGCGGATCATATCCAGCAATGAGCAAAGCAATGATCACGAGTCTCTTTCTTCTGATAGTTCTTCCCAAACAAGCGAGCTTGGAAAGCAGGCAAGCAAGGCGAGCAAGGCGAACAAGGCGAGCAAGGCGAGCAACGCGAGCAAGGCGATCACCACGAGCACCGCGAGCAACGCAAGCGAAGCAAAGCAAAGCAAAGCAAAGCAATCCAAGCCAGCTAGCAAGGAAAAATAGAAACAAATGTCCCAACATGTCCAAGTCTTCGCCGCGGCACGGTCGCTCCACCAATCGCGGCCGTGGCCGACGCTTTGCATGGTTCGGGCTTTCAGGCGCAAAAGGCTCAGAGTGGAAGAGGGCACCTCAGACGGATCCATCGCTAGTAGGTTGGAGGGCATCGCTAGTAGGCTGGAGGCCATCGCCAGTAGATTGGAGGCCATCGCTAGTGGTTGGAGGCCATCGCTAGTTTGTTGCAGGCCATCGTTAGTAGATTGGAGGCCATCGTTAGTAGATTGGAGGCCATCGTTAGTAGATTGGAGGCCATCGCCAGTAGGTTGGAGGCCATCGCTAGTAGGTTGGAGGCCATCGCTAGTTGGTTGGAGGCCATCGCTAGTTGGTTGGAGGCCATCGCTAGTAGGTTGGAGGCCATCGCTAGTAGGTTGGAGGCCTTCGTTAGTTGGTTGCAGGCCATCGCTAGTAGGGTGGAGGCCATGGTTGTCGTGTTCTATTTATTTTTGGTTTCTTTAAGTTTCTTCTTCCGTATTCTTGAGGCATTGCTTGCTTTCTTTTCTTTTCCTTTTTTTCCCCTTCTTTCTGGGATGTACACCCTCTATGGACTTGACTGTAAAACCACTTCTCTCTGCTACTGCCACTGACACTGCTAGGACGACAACGACGACGACGACTTCTACAACCATTTCTACTTCTCTTACTCATTCCACCTTAAGGTCCCGGCCAAAATACCCATTCAGGACAGTCTCTTTTCAAAAGCCAGCACTTTCGCAGGAATACGAATATGTAAGCTGAACACCACTGTGTTGATCCGGGCGCATTCGATACCTCCATCCCGTTGAGACCCGTCTTCGTTCGACCTCGCGACTTGATCGTGTTCGTTCGACCGCTGCATGCACCACCTGGCAAAATGGAAATGCCTGTGTGCTTGTGATTGCCCCAAATGGTAAACTGGCGTTGGTTTGTATCACCAAAGAACGCAGTATTCAATGCCCTCGCCACAAAGACCAAGTGGCTGTTCAAATCAACGGCATCCTCCTGAGGCTTCATGGAGAATTAACCAACCACTGGCTGGACCCGACAGCCAAAGTCTTTCTTGGGACCTGTGCACAAGCACTTAGGCACCTGACTGCCAAGGATGGGATGAGTAGCAAACATATCCCTCTTTTTTCAGTACGGATGTCGTCCCACAACGCTGCCGAGTTGGTTTGCTGCTCAGTGTCAAGCACCAAGGAAAAGTACCTTCTAGTGAGGCAGAGTGACCAGCATGCCTAGAGCTTCCCCGCCGGCACCTATATGGTTACTTGTGACTTGTGAACGTACCAGAATGAGGTGGAAGTTGCTGAGCAGAATCACCCACTCTTCTATCTCCATCATCGCCAGCTAATTATTCTCTCAGCAAATTATTCTCAGAGCTTCCATCATCCACCACCATCCACCACATCTTGTCTCAGCTCTTCCCCCACTCGTCTCGCTCCTTGTCACTGTCCAGTGAGCCTAGATCCCCAAGCTCCAGAGGCCCCAGGGTGCATGCTTTCGCTTTGTCTCGGCGGCTCAGCGGCGTTTCCGGGCTCGGTGCCGCCGAACCCCGGCTCTCAGGCCTCTCTGGCCTTCGAGGCACTGAGCCTGACAGCGAAGCAAACCTTTGTATCACGGCAGATTCTCCACGCATCCAATTGGACTTGGGCGGAATCGCATCCGGGTTATCTCTCCTATCTTATTCTAAGACCACGAGACAATGATTGCGCGCGAGATGATAGGGATCGGATTCCTCAAAGGCACATCACAGATTTTGCTAGTGGTCTGGCTATAGTTAATTGTCTTGCAAGACCTGAGAGATGTGATGCCACGGTGTTGCTTTGTTCTTCTGCGCGGGAGAAGCGACGTGCTGAGACGTACGAGCCCAGAGCCCGCGTGCGGATGCTTTGCGTAGAGACGTAAGCGGTAGATAGAGCCCGCGTGCTCTATCGGTGACCAAGAGTTGCATGCAACTCGCATGTGCGCAACACAGATTTGCCACCAGCCACCCGCTTTCCGAGTGAAAACCAGGTGCTCCGTCCAGCAATCATCGGATGATACCGTGTTGTGTTCCCTGTCATGTTGCTGTCCTGCTGCATGCCCAATGTCCAAAGCCCGCTATTTGGGCACAAGATGGGCAAAATGCCATCGTTCTTTCCAACCCCCCAAGATCGCCCTGAAGCTGGACGGAGCATCGCACCGACGAAGGACGGCCCTCCTTCGCTCAGCGAAACATCGAAGAAAGGACGGTTGTTATAGGCCGTGTGTCGATTTGTAGGACTGGTCTAACGAGAAAAGAAGACAGGTTCTCCCAAAAAGAAGTGCATTGCTTGCTTGAATGAGAAGCTTTCCTTCCACCCCTCCTTCTTTTGGCGTGTGAAGAAAGTAAAGAACATGTGTTTTCCGTGCTTGGGTCCACAGCACACCTGTCTGGGATGGTTCTTTGTTCGCCCTCCAAAGTGAGAAGTTGCTCCACTCAGACATCTCTTGAAGTGCCTGTGGAACTCCTCATGCCCTTCGAGTACTGTCGGCTTCCCGGCCGCGCGAGGCCACGGTCCATGGCAGGCTGCGGGCGCGTGGCGCGCGCGCGCGTGCGCGCGCGCGCGTGAGGCGCGCGGGCGGGCGGTAGGACGCGCGCGCGGGCGGGGCACGTGGACGGTGGCTGTACCTTTTCTGAGCCCAAAACCGTCCGAGAAAAAAGAGGCCCTTCTGAAAAATGTCTGTTTCTATCATGGACCCATGATGGTCCAAAACCATTAGAAGACCTTCGTCTCTCAATCCTCCGTATCTCTCCATCCTGGACTTGCTGTAACTCTCAAATCAATCTCTCTCTCTCTTTCTCTCTATCTAAGTCTATCTAAGTCCTATCTATCTATCTATCTATCTATCTCTCTCTCTCTCTCTCTTACCTACCTGTAAGACTGCCCTTTTGGCAAGGAAAACTCTCTGCAGGCGGCTGGTTTTGCGGGTGATATAGCTTCTTTTTGAAATTTTAACACCTGTGAAACAAAAAAAAATGGTCTCAGTCGAAACATCGACAACTGACTCGCTTTTCGAAGTCAGGAATTGACCCATTGAATCCCATTGAGCAATGAGCCCCAAAAAGGCCGCCCCACAGCGACCAGTTGGGGCTCCGCCGAAAGCGTCGCGGAAAAGATCATCCGGAGCATCATGCGAAGCATCGAACCAAAACGATACAGAGAATCCAGCGAAAGAGAAGCGCTTAGGCACACGAATCCCAAGATCTTAGATGTTTGGTTTCAGGTCAAACCACTGTTTGAAAGTGTTCGGAAAAAAAAGGAACAAGCTGTTTTTTGCGCTTTTGCTGCACCAGAGTGGTTTCTTCCAACCAGACTCGGCCAGGTTCCGCCGAGAAACCCTGTGGCGCGAAACCATTCCGCTCCAAAAGCGTCAACTGAAAATACCAGTAGCTGAACAGCTGGACGGCCCAGGGCTGAACAATAATGTGTTGGTGATTTGGTGTTCTCGCAAACAAAACCTCTGGTTTTTCGCTTACAACAGGTTTCACTGGTCAGTGGTCATTCACATCTACCAGCTAACAGAGACTGCTGGGTCATAGAAGAGACGGAGATCAGAGTGAGTCCGTACGCATCCAATGGAGATCAGTGATGAGGAAACTGTCCCTCCTTTCTTTGAGGACCGTTGTTTTAAATGTTGGAAAAGACTGAGAAGACCTTGGTCCAAACTTGATCATTTTCCGCGTTCAACACCTTCAGTTCCAAAACTTTGGAACCACCAACAACAAGAGAGATGATGTTAAAAACAAAAATAGTTTTCTTTTTTTGATATATACATATAAATAAACTAAACAAAAATCAAATCAAGCAAATTCAACCATTGCCCCGAACCATCGCTTCGGGGCGTTCGACCGACGGCTTCGCGCCTTCACGTCTCGACGGCTGTGAGCCACCTGGCGCAGGGCCTCCTGCTGCTCGTAGGCCCTCTGACGGCAACGGCTGCTGCAGGGCGTGCCGCCGCCTGGACACTTGGGACACGGGCCGGTTGGAGGGGGAGCCGGAAGCCACAGCCGGAAAAGACTGGGTGATCAAAATGAAAGCTTGCGTTTGGCAAGCTCGGTGAGTGGGGTGGTCCAACAAACAGTGGCAACCAGTGGCAAGTTGTTTCTAAGTTTCGGGGGAAGTGACGCCTGCATAGACCCAAGAAAGATCTTTGTGGGCATGCAAAGTGAACCCAGCCATGGATTCGAGAACCCCGAGATGATTTGGATGTGCTGGGCTGGAAAGTATGATGCATGATTGATTGTAAAAAAAGAAGTTGCCAACAACGAGGCATCACTACTTCAATTTGAATCAACTCCCTGGCATTCCAGATCTGTCATGATCTTTCCCAGATCCGCACCGCGTGCGATCACGAGGAGGCGCTCACACCCATGGCTGCACCGAGATGCTCTCGGCGAAGAGCACCCAGAGCAAGCCCCGAGCCCCACTGGTCTCCTCACATCGGCGCCAGCGTGGCCGCGCCGACGCCGCGCGGACGCCGCGGCGGACGCCGCGGCGGAGAGCTACGCGCGCTGCCTCCCTTGATCGAAAAGGTTGAAAACTCATGAGGCCTGTGCTTCTGAAGGCGCTCATGAGACTCAAAGATTCGAAGCTGACATGGATCCCGGCAGGCAGTGGCATGCCATTTTTTGCATCTTCAGACATCCGGACATCCCCAAGAAAAAACATGGCAGTCAAAACAAGGACTCCCAAGCCAGACAGCTTCATGACGCTCAAAAGATCCACCAGACATCCCCAAGTCGAGTCCACGTCTTGGCAGTCCCCGTGCGTCTGTTCACTCGAGTCGACGTGCCGCACGTCCCCGGCAGTTCCACCCGGTGACCGACCGATCAACGGTCCGAGTCCCGGTCGAAGACGCCCGACCCTTGGGTGAACCATTCGGTGAGCCGACCTGAACGAACAGCCGACCTGAACGGTGAGCCGGGTCCCCGTTGTATGGAAAAGAAAGAGATGTGACACATACAGCCAGCGGGTGAAAAGAGTAGATGGGCACTGGCACCCAAAGATGTCTTCTAAAGGGGTGTCCATATAAACCATCGAACTTGGGGATGGTGCCATCTACTCTTTTCGACCCTGTAGTAGTAGAATGGTCGGCTGATCAACTCATCAATGATTGACTCATCTGCGAGTGAGAAGCTCTTGTTGGACTCTGGATGAGACCTTCACGGCACTCCAAACCAAAGCAAGCGGCCTAGACTCTCGCTGAAGCGAACGGAAAATCACTGTTGGTATGCCTAAACACGGTTCTTCCATGCTTTTTGTAGTAGTTGTATTTAGAAGAAAGGTGCTACCAAGCTCTGGCGCTGCGAAAAGCACATTCAAGAAAGGAAAAGCGTCACCAAATCCGTGGTCCACACCCCCCCAGATGCGACTCTGCGGGTCCCGGCAACCTGGACCTGGACGAACTCCGCGGGTCGCGCCCTGAACTAGGCCGCCTAGGCGCATAGTGGTAGAAGTTCTCCTGGCCACGAGCTTCTGCTGGGCGGAGCAGGGCGGAACTTTCCACCGGCAACAGCACTGTACACATCGCCGTAGGTCAAAGAAGAATCACTGCGACCTCAAACAACGACAGGGATCCAACTGTCCAAGTGAATGGGCAAAAAAGAACGCAGTGGATCTCTCATCAAAACATGCTCCAAGATGTTGGCCTTCAAGTGTTTCTCATTTGACCCAAGCTGACCCTCAGTTCTTGCGCGAACCCACACAGCGAACACTCTTTGACCAGTACCCTTCCGCAGTGGAAAACCAACTGTGCAGCTTGGATGTTCAACCCTTGTAACACGACTTCCTCACAAAGCCTGTTCATGTTCATCTCTTTTCCCTTGCCATGTTCCAAAAACCAGACAAATCGATGCAAAGAGTGATCCTTTGAAGGTTCAGCCATTGAGACGTGCTTCACCTCACGTGTCACTTTCACACCCCAAGACCCCAAGACCCTCAACCCCTCAGGCGCCTCGACTCGCGTCGCACCTCGCGGACGCGTCGCGATCGCCGCACCTCGGAGACCTCGCCGAAGAGCGGCAACTGGTGCGCCTGCCGGAGCGGTAGGAGGAGTCGGAGCGCTTGGAAAAAAAGAGAAAAACCAGCGTTTTCTTTTGACAAGTAGAAGTGTTAGTCTTTGCGGTGTTCTTTCTATTACTTCTTCTTAAGCCATATGGTCGCCCAGCGAAACACGTCTTTCTGTAAACGAAATCGAAAAAGGGCCCGTGAAAGTTCTCGTTTTTTGCTGGGGGCCTTGGATGCAACTCGTTCAACTCTAGGGCCTTGGGATGAAATAGGATGTGTCAGATATTTGTTGTTGTTCTCGTTTTGGAGAGTTCTCAGTAGGTGTTGATGGATGCAGATTGGCTGATACTCAGCTTCTTCTCTTCTGACCGTCTAAAGGCTGGACGAAGTGGCAGCAGTGAAACTGTATTGCTACCGTTTCACTTGGCTCCAGTTCTTTCCCTTGGATTGCAGGTTGAATTTGGCTCCAAGACACATCACTATGTCTTGTTCAGAGGCTGCATTCTGTCATCCATTGGACAATACTACTAGTAGCAAGGACAATACTAGGTTGGAGGCCATCACTACTGGGTGGAGGCCATCGCTAGTAGAATGGAGGCTGGAGGCCATTACTACTAGTAGCAAGGACGCTACGAAGGGAGCTCTTTAGTTTCGACTCTGATCAGCGTTGCCGGAGCCAGCTTTGCTGCGAGATGACCCACCCATCCCCGGTTTCACTGTTTTACAGTGAACCATGGTGATCGAATGCGGTGGACGTGTTTTTGGAGGATCTCTTTTTGAGTGACGCTCGTGACCCAAAGATCAATGCCGAACAAGACGAATGCAGATGTCTGTTGAGATAAATCTTCCAAACGTGACCCTCGGAAATGACGTGGGATTGCTATCCTGGATGCCAGGTGCTAAGCAGGTCGTCGCAATCCTTGACTTGGCGTGAACTTCTTGGGACAGGAAACAGGTTTAGTACCAACAGCGGCGTGGTGCCATGCCTGTGGGTCAGAAGCCTCCTGTTCTTCTTTGCACAAACACACAACCTATTCGAGAAGCTTGGGGAACTCTGATCGATTTGGGGGGCTACTCCAAGAGACGTTCCTCCAGTTTGGTGACGTGTCAGTCTTCAAGACGTGTCAAGTCTTTCGCACGAGGATCTCCCACCAGTGACACCCACAAAGAACTTCACCTTGTGGATGAAAAAGAAACTCTATTCTGAGGCTTGGATGTAAATAGGTGGAAAGCTATTGATGTAAGGTGGAAGTTCTTTTAGAGTGCAAAGGGATAATCTTTAGCCCCACCTGCATGAACTCGACAAGCTTTTGCTCCGCTTCCTTGCAAGCGTGTTGCTGTTGCTGGTTTCCGTCCACACCGCATCCTCTACAGAGCCAGACGAACCCTTGCATTTGTGAGGGAGGTTTTCGCACATCATATTGCCAGTTTGGTCTAGTTGTGCTGATCATACCACTTCTTTCTGTCCCTTCAGAATGAACTCACACGCCCATCACACGCCCATCAGGGTGTCGCAGATTCTTTCACGTCTCTCCGAACGTCGAACATCGTTCCCTTTGGGCCAAAAAGAACACCCTCAGCCCGACACCCTGTGCTGAATTGACGACACCACCCGACACCCGAAGCCCAGTGGACCGCTCGCGGAAACGGGAGCGGAAACGGTCTCTGGGTCTCCTCATCACTCGCCTGGGTGGCAAATCCACGAAGGGCCGGTGAAGAAGCTACTAGCTTCTTGTTACTAGTACAGGTCAGCCCATGTTGCACGATTCTTCCGTCCCCACTCTGGACATATATATACGACGTAGACCAATATTTGTCCAAATGTGGTGAGGATGTTACCAGCATACAAATCCTTGTGTGAAGAGGATTTAGATGTAATTGAAATACAGCCGTGAACCTGAGACGATTTGCTTCCTACCATCCAACTCTTCCAAATGCCGAACTCTGACGTCGACATGAATCCACTGTCAATGAACCTCAACAACTGGCATGTTGTCTCTTTCGAAACGTCGTGAAATTCAGCACCAAAGGCCCAAGTCTTGAATGAATACTCGCAGAAGCTGTCCACATCTGCGTGGAGTGGCTCCAAACTGGATTGGTAGAAAGATCACCATGATCTGTGCCTGTAGACATGCTAGAGACCAGCCGCAGCCACCTTCTACTCTGCAAAAGGCCTATGACTATGACTTTGTGGAACTCCTACAGTGGTTTAAGATGGGACAAACCCAAAGATGTCTTTTATATGGTCTTCACTTGAACCTCCTTTTGGGGGATTGTGCCATCAACTACTCTGAAACCACTATAAACAGGACTAAACAGGTCCACAGAGCGCAGGGGTCTCCCCTACGGCTTAAAAGACCACTAGAAAGTTGCATATCCCAGACACTCCATGTATGCCCTATATGCCTACATTGACCCCCCAAACCACCCCAATGTAGGCATATACGGCATACATGGAGTGTCTGGGTATTGAAAGTATTTCATGTTCCTTTGTTCAGTTCCTTTTTCCAAGTATTGCTCGAGGAATCTCTTTGGTAAGACTTTTGGGCTTTTGTCAATCCCACAGCCTGTGCTTAAGCTTGAAATCGCTGAGTTTGATGGCTTCTCCCAGGAAAACTGCCCCACATCCTTTTGAGGCACTTCCCCGACCCCTTTCAAACAAAAGCCCTGCTTGAGGCCTCACTCGCATGAAAAACTCGTGCATGAAGAACCTAGTAGCGTTCTTGTTGCTAGTAGTGCGGCCAGGGGCCCCTAGTAGCTTCTTGTTCCTAGTAGTAAGGCCAGGAGGTTCTAGTAGCGTCCTTGCTCCGTTCGTAGCGATGCCCTTTGTTACGTTCTTGTTCCTAGTAAGGCCGCGGCCGCAAAAGGGTCCTTGCGGGAAAAAACCGTGGCATCCGCTTTGCGCGAGGCACGGAGGCGGAGGCTGGGCCTTCCAGGAGCTCGTCCAAGCCTCGAAAGAGCTGCACCTGGGTGTCGACACGGTCCGCTACCCTGTGGCACCAAGGTCCAGGTGTCGTTTCCACCCGTGTGACCTGACTGGAGACGTGAAAAACCAAGGGCATTCAGAACTGTCCTGTTTGCAATAAAAACCTTGTAGTCTTCACCTCAAAAGACACCATCCATAACCTTTCAGCCTTTCTTGGGCTCAAACCTCGAAACAGTGCTCATGATGGCCAATCCTGATGTGGTTCCAAGCGGAAAGGACTCGGTTCGATCCACCGAGCCCAAGCCGGGGGGTCAGCTGACTGGGAAGAGCCGCGTCTGACGCGTCTGCCGCTTGTGATGGTCAGTCTCAACGGTTTACAAACGTTCAAGACAAATCTGGCTGAAACTGTTTGGGGATCTGTGCTGATTTAATTCCGTTTTGGGTGCCCAACCATACCATGGGACCAGAGGGGTGCTGTTCCGGTCACCGATGTTCCAGCGGTGCGAGAGCAGCAACCACCGAGCCACTCGAGGGTGCAGACCACCTGCAAGGAAGATGAACTTCCCCCAGGTACGAAAGCGCTCGGCTAGCCTGGGCGGAGCGGTTCTTGGTGCCCTCCTAAAACACTGACGAGAATATGAGAATCCCACATTTCACATTCCATGCTTGGAGAGGGCCAATTGTAGACTGACAAAGCTTCCAATTGTCCAGACTGGTAAAGCTTTGAGACTTCGGACCTTTGGTACTTGAGAACTTCGCTTGCTCGACGAGTTCCCATGCATGTCGTCGAGTTCTCCACTGAGAGGATGACCTCTTCACGGTGGCTTGCCGGCCCGCGTCGCCGGTGGCCTTGGGTCCGCGCCGAGGGAGAATGCAAGGAGCCGTGTCGACGGTCGGGAGCGCGAGCAGGTGTTTTCAGAGACCAACATGGCCGACTTCTCCGCCATCTTGAGCAGGTCGTCATCTGGTCTTCACAAGATCATCCTTTTCACAGCAGCAACATCGGCTTCACAACATCACCTTCTTCACAACACACAGAGAGAGGTGGAGAGGCAGGTATATAATTTCAAGTTCTTCGCACAATGATGGTCACTAGTAGCCTTCTTGCTCCTAGTAGCGTTCTTGCTCCTAGTAGCGATGCCCTTTGCTCCGTTCGTAGCGATGCCCTTGGCTCCTAATCAACTTGTTTCGGATCCGCTGCGATTCGCAGAAAAGCCGCTGACACTGAAAAACACCATCCAAGTGGCTACCAGTGCACTGTGCACCCCCCGTCGGCCAAGAGCATCCTGCCCGAACAAGGACGTTAGAACCGGACATGGGTTCGCAGGACGCTACCTCATCCTGTCCATACCCATAGGCCGGAAATGAGCCTTTCTTTCACACGAAAGAAGGACATTTGTGACAAAGGTTTGGGGTTGGTCCCGAAAATGCCTCGACTCCCACATCTTTGGACGCAAATTCTGGCAAAAACTGGCCCCCTTGGGGGCACCAAAAGACCAGCAGGAAAGATTGCAGCTGTGCTGGGGCTGTCCATGGTTCGTTGCCTTTACGTCTGACCCACCCCCCCCACCACCACCACCACCACCACCATTTCCCATTTCTCCATTCTTTTCAGAAAGCACCCCCCACGCTGTAGAAGTTCGAAGGCCATGGAGCTGTTCATCCAAAACTGGGGTGTTGAGAGTCGGTGCCACCGATGCGTCGAGGACGCTCACGACTGGTGCTTCGTCAAGGTCACTCGGGGTGTGTCACTCGTGTGGCGTCCTGCAACTGATCGCTGTTGTTCACCAGCTCCAACGCAGAGCCTCGCGCTGCAGTGGACCAGACCGACAGACACGGACAGCAACCACCGTGACATGCATACACGGCAGCACTGACTGGTTTTAGGTGGCACTGTGGGCCATGAAGCCACCGCTATACAGCTCTAGGAAGCAAGAGTTGCTGCATCACCTTGGAGTTCCATCCTGAGAAGAAGCATTTCGCTCCTGCATCACCCGCGGTTCGCAATGGGCAACATGCCACAGCAGGACGGGTAACGTGCGCCACATTCCACCGATTCAATGTTCGTGAGTTTCGTCTCGTACGATGACCGACGGCATGTGCAAAGTGAAACGACGGCCACCTCGAGCCACTACTAGTAGCAAGAAGCTACGCACGGTGGAGGCCATCGCTACGAACGGAACAAGAAGCTACTAGTAGGCTACTAGTAACAAGGATCCCTCGGCCTATCTTGCTGCGGGTCCAGTCAGCAATGGCTGCCGCACTGCGGCGCCCGGTGAACTCTTCCTCGAGCGAAGAAGAAAAAACGTCCGTTCTCTGGGGCAAATTGTTGGGAGGGTTGGCTCACCATCCAATTCTGACGGACAAACAAGTTCAAACCCCCATGCAAACGTCCAGAGGGAGGAGTGCTGGATGCCAAAACGTTCACCAACTTATCAAGAACACCAACGATGCGGCTGGTGAAAGAGGATCTGCAGAAAAGTGACTTGATGACACACCATGGCAAAATCAGTGGCTCGAAGCACACTGGCACAGCTGTCACCTGCCAGTCGTGGAAGTCGTGCCTGTTGAGAGACTTTCAACTTGAAAAACCACGACTTCCACGTTGCAGTTGCGCTGGAGTTGCACTGGCCGTACACATTCGATTCGGTAAAAGGTGAGATGTTGGACCTGCTGTCGAGCTGAATTGGTTGTACTCCGGTGTCTTGTCACCTTTGCCCACAATAGACCTCTGCAAGCACCCAGTCAAATCTACAAAATACACACCGGCTTAAAATAAGCATCTTCTACGATCGCATCCGATTGCCATCCAGCTCTTTTTCCCACCATGTTGTATTATCATGCTCTTTGCTATTCTTTGTTCATGTTCCTTGCACGGTCACCAGTCAAGTCAACGGAATCAAGGAGCATAGCTTCCCTTCTGGAGCAAAAAGAGTCCAGGATAGGCAGAGATGCCAAACCTCGGATCCGTCGAATGACGACTTCGAATGGTTGAGTGCTGCCCTTGAGTAAGTCTGGTGACGTGAACAATTGCACAAACGAAGGCAAATGCTCAAACAGGAACTCAACATTGGCAATCTTCACGAATCTGGTTGTTTCCACCCTAAATGGATAGTGGAGGTTGTAGGGGATTCACCTGATTGTCCAGTTTTTACAACCTTGTGCCTTTTGACCAACTTCCTCAGAAATGGACCAGTTGAAAAACGCCTCTTGACCTCCCTCCAAGAACGAACATGCACTTCCATCTCCTTTTCAGAGTCGAGATGAGATGTCGCGGGTAGTTGAGAAGGTTACAAAGGACCCCATTGCTTGTAGCTTGGAGGCCATCGCTAGTAGGTTGAAGGACCTTTCGCGGCGTCCATTCATCCCATTCCTCCGGTTTTTTGAACCGTCGTGCTCCACAGGTCCACCGTTCCACAGGTCTCTGCCAGTGGGTGAAGAGCCAGGCGTCTCCGGAACAACCATTGTTTTACGAAAACAAAAAACAGATTCCACAAAGCCAGGTCAAGTATGATGCTTCAGTCTTTGAAGGCTAGGGTATATAAAAATTTGATGTTCTCCCTTTCACTCCACCTTTCTGTGAGAAAGAGGATGGCTTTCAATTCTCATGTTTTTCGAGGTCTTCTCAAAGATCCTGTCCTGCACCTAGTTGGGGGTGTCCCAACTCTGTCCCGTTTGAGGGCGGGTTCCCTTCCTCTGAAACAAGGAAGTTACCAGGGCTCCAATCATTTCCAGACATCCACGATATTGAACCATCAACGCCATAGAAATACCGGGTTCTGCAGCATCAATGATGCACAAGCTGGGGCCAGTGTTCTTTCTCCTGGGTTGCCACGCTCGTCAGCGATTTCCACTTCCATGCTCGCGTCCTGGGTATGATTGAGAGCATCCATTAAAGGGAACCATAGGGAACCTCTTTTCAGCAGCTAAATCATGCAATTTCAACATAGAAAGCCAATCTATGCCTCAACTCTGTTTGAAGAATCGCAAGTTGTGGTGGGATATTTTATGGATCTTTCTGAAGACATGGAGCTACTCCATGCAAGGCCATGTGAATCCATCAAAACAAGGCGGTTCTTTCTATGTGAAAAGCAGGCAAGGGGGCACCGATCTGGTGCATATTGGCCTACTGGGATGGCTGCCCACAACGTGCATGTATCATCAAAAGAATTGACCAAAACCTACTGGTTGGGGGCGTCAGTCCAGCCTCATAAAGGTCTCCGAGACCCAAAGAACTCCTACAACTCACTCCAAATAGAGTTTTCAGTCGGGTCAAAGGACGGCTTGAGGGACCATTCCAGGATCAAAGTGATGTGCAAAAGCGCCTGCCCGCGTCCGCTGTCAGATGAAGTATTGCAACAAAACAATCCTCCAAACAAAGAACGACTCATGAAACGTTTGGTGCTGAACTCCGTCCATCTCCTTCCAAACCTCCCTGTCAGCTTGAGCGAAAGAAATTGGTCACGTCCCTTGGGTCCCACCTGAAAATGTCAAATGTCAATATGGCATTGAATTGTTTCAATTTTGAGGGCATCCAGCAAATTTGCTTTGTTGTCTTTGAACTCCACGTACGTTAATGGAAAAGTTACTTTAACTCAATTTTAACTCCAATTCCTAACAAGTTTCATCAATATGACTTTTGTGTGTTTATGTGAATATATAGTACACACACACACACTTGGGAAAGGAGTTCGTACGAAATGTCATGAGCCACTAGAAGAGGCCTAAGTAACCAAGAACCTAAGAGTTCGCGTGTATGCAACGAGGTCCAACCACCAAGCTCGTTCGTTCCACAAGTTTGACAAATCCCAAAGATCAAAGAAGTTCAAAAACGAAGGAACGAGCGAAAGTTTGTCTTGAAATCCGAAGGCTCTAATCCAAAGCTGACTGCCACGCGCTGCTACCACGCGCATAACGGCCATCAATTCTTCTAGAAAGAATGGGACCAAGTGGGAAATGACAGTCAAAATAGGGCAGCAGATAGGTGACTTTGGCGTCCCAAAGTCATATCACGACACGATGGAGAGGTCTTCGTTGGGCAATGCTTTCCAAAGTGTCCATTGCCTCCTTGATTTCAAAAGTAAAAGGCCAAAAGGCACCTTCTGAATCCAAAGGTTACGCGCACGCGCGCGCACAAACACACACTTGTGCTTCTTTTTTTGGGCATGTTGCGTTTCCCAAGAGCTTATGTATGTATGTGTGTGTGTGTTTGTTTGTTTGCGTCGATTGTTGGTGTTTTGATGCAAACTATTTCCTTGTTAGCATGATGTTTGAAGGCCACATGACAGAAAATGATTTTGATAGTTCTTTTCATGCAAACATTAGAACATCTGTTATCAGAAAGCACGCAGCATTCGATGCTTGTCAACTATTCACAAATGCAATGTACATGATAAATCTATAGGGATAACTCTACTTTTGGTGTTATGCTCTTGGGTAGGCTTTGACTTTTGCCCATTTGCCAAGGACGTCTACAACCTTGGTGTTTTGCTCCCCCAACCTCTCAACCAACCAACCTCGTTCACATCTCTGGTCCGGCGAGACCAACGCCTTCATCCACCTATGTTAGGTAGGAAAGACATGGGATTTTGGAGAAGCTGAGAACGAGTAGACTAATAAACTAATAGCAATGGCCTTCAACCTGCTAGCGATGGCCTCCAACCTAGAAGCAATGGCCTCTACCTGTGTTAGGTAGGAGCTGGGAGGGAGTAGACTAGACTCATCACAAACCCCAATCGCCAGCGAACCGAAGTGGAGCGAATGCCGCTGTGAGTCAATCTTCGCGACCGCCACGCTGCCCTGGTGGTATCGGAAGGTGAAAAGTATGGTGACCCTGGTGGAGCTGCCCTGGTGCCGTAGAAAAACCTCCAGGGCAATGAAACAATTCCGCAGACCTACCACTTGTACCCTATCACCCAGACCTACCACTGACTGAGACCTTCTCAACCGCAAGTCCGACCTCCTTTTCTTCACAGCTGCCACTCTCAACAAGGCGAGGGTCGCTGGGTGCATTCCAACTTATGAAGTTGTTGGAGAAGGGTTTCGTTCCTTGCGAAAGAAACACCACCGCAGTTCTTCCGCAAAACACTTGCCGGGCGATAACGAATCAAGGCTCCCCAAGAAGAAAGTCGACTTACAGCAGAAACAGACCATTGTTTTGATATGACAGGAGGCTAGCAACAAACCCAGCATCACAACAGACTAGGTTCCTAGTAGCTTATTGTTACTAATAGCAAACATTGTTACTACTAGTAAGGCACCTGTTACTACTAGCAATGCACTTGTTACTAGTAGCTAACCAAGTCACCCCTTCCGCATCGACCCCAACCGCTCAGTGCAACCCGCCCGACGTCCTTCGTGCCCCCCCGCCTGCAGCTCCGCCGCCGCTCGACGGACTTCCGGGTCCAAGCTCCGGGAATGACCACCTGCGGCTGCAATCATGAAGTCAAAAGGACCTTCAATCCGTGTCAATAGAAAAACAATAATACATATATATATATATATGAAAATGTCGCGACTCCATGACTGCATGAGCGCTGTCACGCTGATGATAGAAAGACTCCCAGTAAAACATAGACTCTTCGAACGTGCTTTAAGCAGGTCAACTAGGTGATGAGGATGGAAAACTCCACAAATGGATATTGCTTGGCTTGTTGTGTGCTGAAAGGAGGCTTGCTAAGAGTTGCTGGGAGTTTGATGATCCCCCAAAATTTCTGAGATTGGATACGGATCACTCTAAGCCCGCCACACCAAGGTGCATAGAAGAAGAGCAAAAGCCTTCCCAGCTGGAAAAAGGCTACTTCAAGCCGTGCGCTTCACTCTGTCACTCTGTCAACCTGTTTCCCGTTGTGCTTGGACCCCCTAGCACAGTGTGTGTGTGTGTGTCCAACTCCTGTTGTTCGTAGTTGCAGAGATGCAGAGCCCCACCCCGGGATGATCGAAACTCATCCGACATGGTTCAAATGAAGAACTATATATGTGTGATAAAGATCTTCCTTCCGAAGTAGCGTCCAAGTAAGGTACGGTGCCGGGTTGTCACAGTTGAGGCATTGCTCAAGTGAGGTATGTTCCACATGTCCATGCAACTCTTCACCTTTAGCAAAAACTGACACCAATGGCAGTGGAGCCTAGCTCACGAATCGACTGTCCCACAAGGGCTGCAAGATCAGCAACGAAACACGGGCTGCTGGGTCCGTGTGCGCAGGGATGCTCATACTGCCCACTCTCCCACTCTCCCCACTCTCCCACCTGGGGTAGGCCCGCATGGCCCAGGTGAAGTTCTGTCCATCGAGCTCCACGACCTGTGGGAGAGTATCATACTCTCCCTGCCGACGAAGTGGAACATGGCCTCTGGAAAGACCGTTTTCCTTTACAAAGCAGGGGTTTTTCCACTTCCACTTCTTCTAAAATGCTGGGAACATCCTCCGAAGATGCGCAAAAGGTGGATGCGAACCGATCCTCATGCGAACCTGCCATCCAACGGAGACAACACAGTTCAAGAATCTGGACAAGATAGGTTTCTCAATGCCGAGCGAATCTAGTACTTTCGACGATCGAAGGATGTCAATGATCAATACCATCGATGAGTGCAAGGAGTCAAGGCTTTTCGTCGAGCGGGTCATTTTCGTCGAGGGTGTCTTCAGCCATGCCCGCAACAGCAGAACAGCAAAAACAAACAAAAACCCTCGCGAAGCCTCCTCTGAGTTAGCCAGAAAGACTGCAGCCAACCAAAGGCATCGCACAGCTTGGCCCATGAGGGGTCGAAGAGAGGGAATGGATCATGGAATTCATGGGAATCCTGGTATATAATTTGGCCATCATCCCTCGCTGAAAACCATTCTCCGTATCGTATCTTGTGACTCACGCCCAGAAGATCTTCGACATCTGGAACCGGACATCAGAAGAAATTCCGAACTCGGAAGCTCTCTTGCGGGAGGATTTTTTGGGAGACACATGAGATTCGAGCCGAACTCGGCTGGCTCATTAAGGCACTCACAAATGATCCATTAGGTTGGAGGCCATCGCTCTTAGGTTGGACGCCATCACTAGTAGGTTGGGCCATCGCTAGTAGGTTGGAGGCCATTGCTACTGCATGTTTTTTCTTTGTCAAAGGGCGCAGCCGGCAAAGGCCGGCTTTGCCCAGAATCCCCCGAAGTGATTCCCTGTGACGCACCCCTACCCCAACCTAACGGTCATCGCAAGACCTTTTCCCTCAGCGGGTTGATCCGCTTGAGCCACCGTCGGTGGCAGGTCAACGAGAAATGCAAAAGGAACCTCTTGATCAAACGATCGAATGGTGACCTACGCTCAAGTTCGACATCCCTCCCAACTTATCATTGATCAAGAGGCTCAAGAACTCAGTCAACTGCTGCTGGTATTCGGACAGCAGTCGCTGCTGGGACGCATGATGGCTGCGTCACTTGTATGCCGGATCCGTCTTCCGGCAAGTCAACTCCTCCTGTACATCTACGAGACTCAGCCAGCCGCTGCGCAAGAACTGGTGCAAAGCGTCGTTCGCCTTCAGGGGGTCCAGCTTAGTGAGGCTGTCCACTAGCATCTTCTGGTGCGGAACCCATCGCACCATCGAGCGTGTCTCCTGGAGGTCCTTCAGGATGATGGCAAGCTCCAAGGCGCTCTTTCTGTCCTGCTTCCCACTGGGGTTCTCCCTGAGCAAGCAGTCAAACAGCGACTTCGCCCCCGCATCACCAGCATGTGTGGGCTCAAACAGTTCCTCCAGGAGGCTAGCTGAACATCATGATATACAGCGTCTCTGTACATCACCTGAAGCCAGTCGACTTCGTTCACGCCCTGCAGCATCGCCTGCGTCTCCCCACCAAACGTAGAAAACACCTTGCGCTTGAGGCGAGAGGAGCGCCAGGTGATTGGTGAGGCCCGTACTGCTGCCTTCCCTTGCGGAAGAGCCCCCGCAGTCAGGACCATCCACGCCCCCTGAGTTGCATCCATAGGCAAGCCCTCTGCATCCACCAGGTCCGTGCCCTGCATGTTAATGCCGCCCGCATCAGAGACAGCGATGAAGCACATCTCCTCGGGATGGAAACGCCAGATCTTCATGGGGCGCTCTGCTGTCGACCTGAGGAAGCTGACGAACCGATTCACGATGATCACATCCCCAATGGTCGCTCTTGGGAGGCGACTGGCCATCAGTGAGGCAATGCCCGCAGCTTCTGGTCGACTCTCTCTTCCAACCCAGTTGATCTTAAAGACCAAGGAGCGAAGTGCCTGGAACTCCTCCTGTGTCAGAGGCTCGCTGTGCTGTCCTCTCCGTCCCTTGGGAAGTTGTACTGGGTGGATCTGCTCCTTGATGTATCTGGTCTTGGAATGTGTCGTCCGGCATATTCTGCCTCACCCTTCTCCCACTTCCCGAAGTGGAACCGTTCTGTCATTGACTTACGCAAGGCCTCATAGTGAGCCGGCGTAGCCGCCACAATGAAGTCATCGACCTCCACAAGCACCGGGGCGACGCAATGGCCGTCATGAAACAAGGAATACCAGCAGGGCTCGATGAGGTTTCTCTCGAAACCCAAGTCGTGGCCACCGTCCGGCGCCACTCAGCAGGAGCGTCATCTAGCCCGTACACCGGGACCACGATCTGAATGAGCGCTCCTGGAGGGAGATGAAGTCCCTCGCAGGGCTCGGCGAAGAGAGGTCCACGCTCTCGTTGAAGTGGTCGACTCTGGCAGAATTCTTGACGTCGGAGAAGGCGCAAATCATCTGCAAGTTGAGAGCTGTCTGGGAAAGAGCATCATTCCTTCCCCTTGTGGTGTAGGAGCATAGGTGCTGAGCCACTGAGTGTCCGGATCGACATGCCCATGTATGCACCAGCGACTCTTGGCCTTCCACGAGTGTAGCTCCGGCTGCGGCTTCTTTCTCCTGACCATCCTTGAGGAGAGGATTCGATCAGGATACTTCTTTCTCATGTCGTTCGCCTCCTTGCCCATGAGAACCTTGATGGTGCCCGTCTTCTCCACTGCCGTCCACTCCACATCGTCGGATTCGTCAAAGAGAACCCTCTCCTCGGCAGTCAGGTCCTTGAGGGAGATCTCATCATTTCGCTTTGCCATGAAGTTCCAGGACCCCTCCGAGCTCACTGTCAGGATCTGGTCTCCGAGCTGGTAGTTGAAGAAGGAGCCGCTCCATTCCTGGTGGTCGTGGTCCTCGGGAATCACGTTGCGGCAGTAATAGTTCTGGCGGAGATTCTCGAACTCGGAGACCTGACGCGAGACTCGCCCATCGGACCCCAAATCTTCAGCCGGTGTCAAAGAGGACGAAGCTGCTGCTGGATGATGTTCTGGAGATAGCTCTCTCGGGATACGGCTGAGTAGTCGATCGACTGGTGTTCCAGGAGCTCTAGTGTGCGTCTCCTCCAGGCTGTCTGTTCTGGCAACTTTGCTGGGGGGCTCCGGAATGACCTCTGGGCTTGCGCCGGAGTCGGCAGAAACTTCGCGGAGTAGCTCATTGATGTCATAGTCTTCTGCCGGTGCCATAGTTGGAGGCTCCGAGGCTGGTTCATTGATTGACTGTCGTCTGGACGGTACTGGAGTGAGTCCTGGAGGTCGAGATCTTCATCCTCCGGAACTGGAGGAAGCTGTTGCCGTGGTGCTGGGGTGATGTTTGGTATCAACCCTGGAGGAATCCACTGAGACTGGCCGGACTCGTTCGAGGATGGTCCACTGTGTTCTGACTGATCGGACGCACCAGGTCCTCTTGCACTGGAGACTTCCACCGGATGTCCAAGGGGAATGCCCTCCTCTTCACGTTGGACTGGACCATAAGCCTCTTCTCCTGTGGGAGGTCCTTCTCGAGAGACATCAACTGTTCCTGCATGTGTTCCAGAGACAACCTGTCGAAGTAGTTCTCCCAGCTCAGGATTGGAGATGAGATCTCGGCCCAAAAGCTCGCTAGGAAGGGCAGCTCGAAGTTGTTCCCGGGAGCATCGCCAGAGCCTAGTCCTCATGCCCACGTAGACTGTTCCGTTGTTCCTGGGCCCACCCATCGACTTCGAAGATGCAGATCTTGATTCTGCTTGGCCCTCCTGAACACATAGACCCACTGCCCAGGCGCCCAGTGTCGCTGTTGGTGAGTTGCCGCATGCACTGACTTCCGAATGGCTTCAGTGCTAGATTGTTGCATCGCCAGCTGTCGAGCTCGCTCACGGATCTGACGCCGTCGTCGATATTCTCCTGCTGCTTCATCGATGGCCATGGGGTCGTTGTAGGCATCATGCATGCCATGTAGAGCCAACTCGTCCTCCGCCAGAAGTTCTCCTGGAATCCGAGGTAGCTCCCCGAAGACCAATTGTGCAGGAGTGTATCCGCCTCGGCACAGCCAGCGATTTTTGACGGAGGTGAGGGTCGCCAAGAACTCATCAATCTCCTCCAAGGTCTGCAAAGTGCACCGTCCTCCATGTAGCTCAGCATCCAGACGGTTCTTGAGCCATCCACCGTGCCTCTCTGCCTTGCCGTTCTGCCAAGGGCATTCTGGAAGGATAACGTGTTGCAAGACCCCGCACAGCTCTAGGCCTCTCTCGAAGGCGCCCTTGAACTCATTGCCACTATCGCAAATGATTTGTTGGAGAAGGCCAAAGTACCGCTGCTAGGACTCCACAAAGAGTTTCCAAGCCGGAGTGCCGCCGCGTGTAGTGCTCATCGGTGCTCTGACGGCAACCTGGCAAGAGGTACCCGCACAGATCATGTTCAAAATGGGTACCCGTTGCTCCTTGAACTGGATCAACAGAAAGTCCACACACAGAATCTTGTTAAAGGCAAATGTCTTTGGAAATTGAGCCCTCCTCCTCACGTCGGGGCCCTGCTTGAGGTTTTTTTTCCACGAGTGCGGACGCCGTGTGGGCGGAGTGCCCAGGTCATCATTGAAGGGGAAGGAAGCACAACATGATGAGGGGAAAAGAACACAAGCAACCCCAAAACCAAACAAAAACACCAAACAAAAACCAGAACCCAGAACAAAAACACCACCAAAGGCCAGAGGCCGTTTCTCCCTCATCTAAAAGTGTTTCCTCTGTACCAGGGTGAGACATGTGAGAAAGACTGCGAACTAACTAGGGGCCTGAATTCACTGTGAAAGTGGGACGGCATGGTCGGCGCAAGAGCGGAGTGCAGCAAAGCCTATCAAAGGGGCTTCGCCCCACCCACCAAGCTGTGACCAAGGAGGCCACTGCATCGAATGGCAAACCGATGATCAGGTACTATGTAAGACCTGCATTGTTTATTGTCAGCCAGTCTGATCCTTGCCCAGGGGAGTCAGTGATTGCTCTGCCTAGCAAGCCATGGAAAAAGCCCATCTCGTTGCACAACCCTTTCAACTGATTGCACAACAGAGACGAGAGGCATATCAATTGTCAGGCAGTGGAGGCAGAGACAACGAAAGCGGTTTGCTGACGAAGGTGATGCCATCCCCCCCGTAGGGAGGTCACCTTTGCACCCCTTAGCAGACAAGGAGTGCCATTGGGGTACTCTCTGTTTCAAAAAGAGAGAGCGGCACTGAGTTGCAAAACGTCTCCTGTTGCATGCAAGGCCCGGGTGAGACAGGTGAAACATGGACCTATCCTAGCATGGTACTTGTGCCTCTTTGTACAGCAATGGTCATGGCGTGGTCGCTGCAAGGAGAACTAAGGTTCGTTTTGGCAACCTTCCATTGCCATTCTCTACCGCCCGCCTATAAGGAGCGAAGCCGAAAGGATGGTTTAGCCTGAGCTTTCTTGAGCTTGCCTAGCACAGGTGATCGAAGTGGCTGGGGAGCAATGCACCACTACTGTTGTCAAAGCGTTGTCAGCCTACGGTGGGATGCAGACTTCTTGCTGCGAGGTGCACTTGAGAAAAGCTTCTTGCTTTATAATTCGCAAGTTTTGGGAAAGGCTGAGTTGTTGCAGTTGTGCGCAGTGTGCAAAGGTTGAACCCAAAGTTTCACGGACTTTCGTTTGGGCCAAATCCACCGTTCGCAGCTGCTGGCGACTTCCGCACGCAGCCGTTCCTATCCTGTGAAAGTCTGACGGCAGACAGAGTGCAACGACACCTGCCTCCAAGAAGCAACAGTCAGGCAGACTCCGGTTTGGCACAGTGGAGCCTTGCCCTTTCTCACCGAGGTTGAGGTGCTGGAGGGCCGTGCATCCTTGAAACACACGGAGCCTCAGTTGTGCTTGGGGGCAAGTACATTGTCAGGGCACTGCGTCACTCTGTTCGAGTTAGGGAGCAACATTCCTCGAACACCTCAGGGCCGAAATGTTGGCAGTCCGGAACAATGTCTACGCGCAAGGCTCGGCAGCATCTGAACGCACCATGCAGCAGACTGACTCGCAGTTGGACCACTTGTAGCTGTCGACAGCTTCTCCATGCTGCTTCTTGCCCGAACTTGGCTTCTCTGTTGAACATATTTGCAACCCCTTCCGATGCATACACCCATTGTAAGGAACAGCATTCCGCAAAGGCTTTGTATCCAAAATCTCGACAACCAGGAGCCAAGACACTGTTTAGTAGTTTGCAGTCACGGAAGGCGTTGTCGGAAATGCCTACAACAGTGGCCGGCAGTTTGACAATGCGGAGCTGTCGGCAATTTTGCCAAGCCTCTGCTCCAATGAGCCTGATGCCTGACTCTACACTGACGTGTCGCAGACGTGGAACCCCTGCAAAGGCCCCTTCTGGGACGATTTCTTCTGGGTTCATAGGGACATGAACGGCTAGCGGAACATGATGGATAGGGCAACCTTCGAGGTGTTCTTGTGATGGCAGGATAACACTGCAGTTCTTGAAGACAATGGTGTATGCCATGCCTTGCTGTAGCTTGTCCCAGATTGGGTCCTCAAGGTATGTCTGTGTGGCAGTTTGCAGAAAGTCGATGGAGCGCCCAAACACTTTGAGATCAGTAACTGAGGCCAGATAGTCCATAACCTGGTCCTCTAGATCCTCAAATCGGTCAAACTTTGCAACACTGAGAGAGACCTTAAAAGTCACCCCCGAAAGCGTGGTCAGCAACAGGGAGCATTCCATGACCGGCTCCATTTCAGGGGGAGTGCTAATCATGGATGAATCGTCGAGCTCCATGTGCGGCAGACTATTTGCAATTATTGTTTGAGCCAAAAGTGTCTGAGTCTGCTCATGGGCTGTTCCTAAGGCCAGGGATGTTTCCTGAAGATAGATGCTAAGGCACCCACCTTGAGCCTCTTGTGGACTGGCATGATGTTAGGAGTACTCGTGGTATAGCTCCTCGTCAAAAGCGTCCGAATCGGGTCCTTCCGCGGGGAGCAGCTCTACCCACAGGGGTTTTTCAAATTTGTCACACATAAAGAAAGCATTGTGCTCTGCCTGCACCCACTGTTCAATGTCACCCCAATCCAGGGGGGTAAATCGTTGCAGTTGCTCACACCCGCAGAATGCACGGTTGCCTATGTCACTGAGCTCCGTCGGGATGACAACTTCTTGCAGCGCAACACAATTAAGGAAAACTTCTTTGCCAATTTGCGTGAGTCGTGGAAATCCCACGCAAGCTTTTTTTTCCACGAGTACGGACGCCGTGTGGGCATGGTGCCCAGGTCATCGTTGAAGGAAGGGAAGAAAAGACAGATGGTGGAGAAAGGAACGAAGACCCCAAAAACCAACCCAAAACCAAACACCCAAGCCCGCAGGCCGACTCCACCATCTTGTAGTCTTCCCTATACACTAGGCGAAACGTGTGAAACTGAGACTAGTGACACCTAGTGGGCCTGAATTCGCAAAAGAAGAGGACTGCAGCGCAAGCTGTGTGCATGGAAAGCCGCCTAGAAGGCTTCAAACGGGCTTTCCTTACCAAGTGTTGGTGACCAGCGGCCACACCACAGTGTGGCAAAACAAGGTCACTTTGCAGGTCAGGAGTCTCGCAATGCTCCAGCAGTGGTTGTAATCAGGCCAACCGAATGTGCGAAGATCAAAGCAGCAATCCATGGAAAAGACCATACTTGTAGCACAACCCGTTCAACCGGTGGCGCATACAAGGACAGTTACATGCTGCCAGACAGAATTCAATTACGGCGGTGATTCCTAGCGAGAGAAGCCTGCAGCTAGGGGTGAATCGGGCACCACCTCCCCGTGGGGAGGCAGACCCAACACCCTTCGGCACTCAACGGTGCCAAAAGGGGATGTCACTTGAGTCTGTGCGGCGCAGTTTAATGGCAAAAGGTGAGAGGTGCGTGCAAGGCCCGTGTGAAACCTGTGAAACATTGAGCTCTCCTAGCATGATATCTGTACCTCTTTGTACAAAATTGGTCGTGGAAATCCCACGCAAGCCTTCTCCTCTCACACGGAAGTCCGACATGTTCTAGTTGAACCTTTTTTTTTTCCACGAGTGCGGACGCCGTGTGGGCATGGTGCCCAGGTCATCGTTGAAGGAAGGGAAGAAAGGCAGATGGTGGAGAACGGAACGAAGACCCCAAAAAACCAACCCAAAAACAAACACCCAAGCCCGCAGGCCGACTCCACCATCTTGTAGTCTTCCCTAA